AAGCAGCCTCCAAATCATTTCTTTTCTAACAAAGAGCAGCTTGAGAAATCGAGCTGCAGACATAGATGACCAACCTGGAAGCTTGTACCAGTGAATGCCGGCAGCTGTGCCAATAGGAAAAGGTTACCTTGCCAGGTGTGTTCAACATGGAGGCACCATCTTCCCTTTTCTTTGTCAACCACATGTACAGTAAAGGAACAGGCAACATGGCACTGGCAAGGTAGAGAACATAATAAAAGATTAGGGTGGGGTGGCCACCTTCATCATGCACTATGTAAATGGCATACTTGTTCTGACCAATCTTTTGAGCCCTATGTAAATCTGACACTGGTTCCTCAAGCTTGTCTATAAAACTCTATGCATTTTACCATGGAACTGGAAGACCCATTCAAGAGCCCCTCTCTCTCTGTAGGAGAAAGAGCTTTTCTCTTTCTCTCACCTATAAATACCCGCTCTTAAATTCACTCCTTGTGTGCCAACATCTTTGATTTCCTTGACTTGGGGCAACAAACTTTGGGTATTACCCCAGATGAATGACACCGCTTCAACTATATTAAGGAAAATGGCAGCCAGTTTTTTTCATTGTTGGAGAAGGGGTATCTATGGAAAGGGAAGAAGCTAAAATGAATCCTGTTGGTTTAGAGTTGGAATTTTGAAGATGTTAGTATAAACTCTGTATAAACTCATGTTTTTCAATATGTATATACCTATATATAGAAATGACTATATAGGTATATACACATATTTTCTTTCCGTGTCCACAATGAGGACTTGGGAGCTGTGGCAATCCAATAGCTTTTTTTTTTTCCCCACCCCAATATGAGGTACCAGGCCTTTTTGAAGAAATGGCTGATTCCTGGGCTGGCTCAGAAACTGGACAATATAGCAATTGTTTATGTATGATACGGCCAGCACCTGAATCAGGCCATTGGAAATGTGAACGGAAGAATTAATAGGTATCTATCTGTTTCTCCAGCCTAGATTGTATGGTCTTCTAAATCAAGGACTTATTCTTTTTCTTAAAAAAGACACATGCCAAAATTTGAGTAGTTTGTGTGCCGTTTTTCCTCTTACACTCTCATTCCCTTAAGTATCTACCTTTTCTCCCCTAGTTTTACTCACATCACTAACACCCCTTTCCTTCCTGCTGTCCCCTGAGGGTTTCTCCTACAGGTACCTTAGAGAATCCCCGTTTCGAGGAAATGCACTCTTTTCATCCTGCCTTTTTCTGAAAGAATGTTTTCTTCCAGTTTTTGCAATAACTCAATAATTTTCAACCCTATCTAGACATTAGAATCACCTATAGAACTTTTTGAAAAGGAAAGGAGAGAGTGAGAGAGGGAAGCAAACAATGTCCAGCTCCCACCCTAGACTGATTCATTTAGCTTCTACAAGTGTGTGGAACTCAGTCCATCATTCTTATTAAAAATTCCCCAGATTATTTAAATGTACTGCTAAGCTGTGAATCGCTGCCTAAAATCAGCATCTTTTCTGAGAGCATCACTTTCTAAGGGAGGCCATTCTTTCTGTCACATCTGATAAACAACAGAGAGAAGAGTGCCAGCATTTTTCTTGCAAATCTCTTTCTTTATGTGAATCTAAATATACGTCCAGTTTTACTGCAGCACTTCATTCTTTTCCGTCTTTTGTTTTCCATCATTATCTCACTAGGACTTTGACACCCCACTCAGAGTCACTTTCTCTCCCATAACTCCTACCATCATTCTGTGAGATCCCAATATCCATATGGTTGATCTGTTCATTGCCAGACCTGAAGAATTTTTGCCTTCCTCTGTTCACTTCAGCATCATCCATGGCCACACCCAGAGCTTGCTATCACCCACTATGGTTTCATTAGAAAAATTATTGACTCTGCCATCCCAGCTTCTTCCCTTTCAGTTTATATTCTCATGTTTCTCACATACGCTATACCAAGGGTTTTTTATATCTGTGGTGTTGTTGCTGTTTCATTTTTGCTTTACCTTAAAGGGATATCTACATTATTTATTTCCCTTCATTTTTCTGCCAGTCTTTCAGTCCTTGTTCCCTCACTTTCCTCCTGGACCAAATGGTTGACCTAAACTACTTCAGTGTGTTTATTTCCCTTGACCCCCAGTCTGCTGCGTTGTCCCAGTAAAATCCTAACCCTCGAGCTCTCACGCCACTTTCTCTGCTTTTTAATCTGTGCACCTGAGCCCTGCTACAAGTGTTTGATTTCTATTTCTGTTAGAGCCTCAACATTTCTGGAAAATCTTTTTCTTTTCATTTCTATTTTGAATTCCCTCAATACCTACTCCAAACCTTCACCTCTCTTCTTAATACCTACTTTACTTGCTCACAAGAATGACTGTATCTCCTCCTACACCAGGGAAATTGAAATTGAAGCATATTCTTACTCAACTCTGTCTCCCTCAACCCTACCACCTCTAAACTCAGTCAGCCGATAGCAAAAAGCCATGGAGTTGCTGATCAAGTTACTTTCTTGAAATATCTTCTCAGATGTTCCCTAAGTACCTCAAGCTGCAGTTAATTTTTCCCACCCTTCCCCAGTCCTCCTCTGCATTGCTTATCAACCCAAAATTCTGCGAGTCATTCTTGACTTCTCTCTCTTTTACATCAAGTTCTGCCCTCTTTACATCCTAAATATTTCTTAAACTATGTCTTTCCATTCCTACTACTGCTTCTCTATTGCAAACCTTTGTCTCTCACCAGAGCTGTTTCAGCAGGCTTCCAACTCATCCAGTTTCCTGCAGCCCATTCTCTAAATGGTGCCAGAATCGTTTTTCATAAACTCAAGTTGGATCATGTCATTTTTCTCCTGAAAGCTTTTCAGTGACTCCACCGTGGCCACAAGATAGCGTTCAAGCCCCTCGGTATGGAAAATGTAACCTTTCATGATCTGACCAGCCCTATCTCACCTGCTTCATCTCCATTCCTCCCTACCCCACACCCAAAATTTGATGCTGTAATAATACCTATTTAACTTGCCCAAAATATGAGGTGAAGTTTTATTTGTTGGTACATTTGCTCATACTGTTTTCTTTTACCTAGACCATTCTTACATTTTTTTTTCTTATCTCCCAAGGTTAAGTTTGAATACTTAAGGAATCACCCTTCCCTTAAGTAGATAAAGTTAGGTGCCTTGCCCTTGCACTCATAACATCCAGTATATTCCTGAATTACTGCATTTAGCATATGGTATTAAAAATTCTGTTTCCACATCTGTCTCCACCAGTAAAATCTCTTTCAGAACAGGAACGAGGGCTTTCTCCTGTTTGTATACCCAACACCTAGCATACAATAAATACTCTGTAAATGTTTATTTTCCATTTTGCCCAGCCTAGTCCCACAGTACATATCAGGCCCATAAACTGTGTTCTTCAGTAAACATCTGATGAATATATAAATGATTGATTCATTTGGAAATTTATTAAAAAGGAATAAGGAAAGCAGAAGTTGAGATAACAGAGGTTTTCTTATGAGTGACTGGGAGGATGGTTATATCATTAAGTGAAAATGGAAACAGATGGAGGAAGTAGTTTCAAGATAAAGATATTGCATTGCTTTAGCAAGAGTTGGTTTGGGAGGCAGGAATAGACATCCCTTTACAGCTTTTCATCAGATACTTGATCAGGTCAGCAGTTTTGGCAAGCACTGTGAACTAGAAGAATCTATTTAGAAATCATACTTGAAGATATAGAGGTGTGGCAAGGATCACCAAGAAAGTACTAAGAGGGAAGAGGACAGGGATAGACTTTTGGAATGTCTACATCTAAGGGGAAAGAAGAAGTCTCCTAAAACCAGAAAACCAGTTAATGTAATATTATAAAGACCAAAGGAGAAAACATTTCAAGAAAAAATGTTTTCTTGAATTTCTTGAATTTTTATAGGGTGATCTAGTAACAATCAAGACTGTTCAAAGAAGAAAGGCATTTTGATTTGTTCTTTAAAAACTAGTTCTAGTCGGTATGTCTGTTAGAATAAATTATTGTTTTCTAGACATTCAGCAGAGAAGCAAGGAGACAGAAGATAGTTACGGAAGGGACATGATGAGAGTTTTTTGTTTGTTTTTAAATTATGAAATGCATGCCTTTTGGAAGAAATTAAAACATTCAGAGGTATATAAATTAAAGTATAAAAGTCTTTCCTGTATTTCTTCTGGTCTCTTTTAGTTTGACATTTATCCATCCAGAACTTTAAAAATATTTTTCTATATTTTTGTTTCTATAAAAATGAGATCACATTATATATTCTATTATTGCAAATTGCTTTTATTTTATTTTAATAGCATGTCATGAAGTTTCTCCACATCAGTATGAATAATTACCTCATTCTTTTTAGTGGCTGAATAGTGTTCTTTATGAGTATGTACCATTATTTAATTTATTCATTCTCTTACTGAATGATATTTGCCTTCAGGTTTTCACTATTACAAATAATTCTCCAGTGATTATCTTTGAACAAATATTCTCATGCTGTTGTTCATGTAATTCTGTGGGAGAAATTCTTTTTTTTTTTTTTTTGAAGACAGAGTCTCACTCTGTCTCCCAGGCTGGAGTGCAGTGGCATGATCATAGCTCACTGTAAACTCAAACTCCTGGGTTCAAGCTATCCTGCTGCCTCAGCTTCCAAGTAGCTGGAACTATGGGCACATGCCACCATGTCTAGCTAGTTTAAAAAAAATTTCTTTAGAGATGGGGTCTTGCTGTGTTGCCCAGTCTGATCTCAAATTCCTGGCCTCAAGTGTGGGATAAAAGTAGAACTGTTGGAAGAGGGATGCATTTTCATTTTGTGTTGACAAGTCACCCACAAAAAGGTGATACCCATTTGCGGTTCCTGTAGTAGCTATTAAACTGCTCTTGTCGCCATACCCTCACTGACACTGGGTATTAATGGAGGATCTGCTCTTGTTTGTAGCCCTAGGAAACAATCCCGTTTAGAGGAGGAGTTTGTAAGTTATAAGAAAAAGAGAAGATTGACAGGCCATAGTCACAGAGGGGATGGGTCAAGATGGTATCAAGAGTGCATATAAAAGGTAAAAAAAAATTTTTTTGAGACATTAAGAGAGGAATAGTAGATGAGTGAATATGGAAATAAATACAAATGAAGGAAGAAATTTTTCATATAGTCATCTTTATTTTAGGGAAATTACAAGCCAAGTTCCCAGTTGAGATGGAGGATTACCAAGACAGAATTTTGAATAAAGGTACAGAAAAGCCTCTGTGAAAATGCTGTAAAGAAGCAGAAGGCAGTCAGTATTGGGAGTTCATCTGAGCTGAGAATGAATTAATTTGGGGGAAGCCACTGGTTGGGGTCACATTAATTTCTCTGCAAGAACAACCAGAGACGTAGTCATTGGATTTGCCTGGGTTTGGGGCTTCTGGGTCGATGTAAATTTCAATAACATTCATAATAAGGGACTTTTATTTTCCGTGTTTTCCTGTTCCCTGAGTACAATTTGTATAACCTAAGGTACACATCTTCTGGTCGGTCTGCACAGGAAAATGGTCCATGTTCTGGTTTAAAAAAAAAAAAAGGAGAGAGTATCACTTTTATACATTTTCTTGTGCCCACCATATAAAGCCGTGTAACTAATAATTTTATTTTCTTTATATAATTCTGAACGTAAAGCCATTTACTTTCTTGGTTTTTATTAATAAATTATGATAGGAGCAAACACTGCTAAAAATTCTGATTGATATAAACCAGAGACATTTATATAAGAATATGTGATTTAGAGCAAAGCAGCTGGCGGAGCAGAATAGATCTTGAGGTCAGCCACGTCATCTGAGCCTCCCCCACCACCACAGCCCCCCACCTATCACGCTTCAGTCGTGCTCCTGGACACCCCTCGGACCCGTGAGCGCTCACCATACCCTCTGCGGGGCAGTGTGGTCCCGAGCCTACTGCCCACTCGCTGGAGGACAGCCTTCTGAGCAACAGTGTGGGCTTCACAGGGCCGCATCTACAAAGGAGTCTGCAAATGTTTCTGATGATCCCAAGGCCCTGGCTTCATTACCCCTGCCGATCTTCCTGCAGGTCTCTGACGTGGAAGGGGAATATGTCTCAGGTGAAGGCGATGAGATCACCTATAAGATGTACTCCATCCCGCCCAAGAATGAGAAGCTGCAGGCCGTGGAGGTTGTCATTACCCACCTGGCACCAGGCACCAAGCATGAGACCTGGTCCGGGCATGTCATCAGCTCCTAGGAGACGCTGGAAGCGCCCCTTCTCCTGTGCCTTTGAGAGACTTTGCAGGGAGTAGGTGGCAGACACTGGAGATGACATTCTTCCATAGGAGAAGGGGCTTCGTCGGGGCATGGCCCCTTTCAAGTATCTCCTGGAGGAAGGGGTATGGGGGGCAGGCATGGGGTGCCCCTGGCCACCAGCACAGCCTCTGACCATGGCAACAATGTCTCACCATCTGAAGAGCATTAAAAGCATTTAAAAAGGAAAAAAAAAAAAAGAATATGAGATTTGAATCCTGGTCAAAGGCCACCTGGAATAAGTGATAGACCTAGCAACACTCCATTCAGCTTATTCTTGTCTAGAGATTCCCTCTGCTTCTGGGGAGTTTAAACATTTTAATTTTAGAATCTTGTTTTTTGAGTAGCAGCCTCTGTATTTCCAAGTCTTTTTCTTTAATTTTCACATTGTTTATGGGCATGGGGAAGAAAAAAGCCAAGTGTCATGAGTTTGTTGTGATCTTAAATTAGAGGAAACAGTGGAATAGCGAGAGATAACACATCTTTAGAACATTTCTCCCTAAAATAAGAAAATGTTATAAGAAGAAATGTGCTAATGGTGGGAACACAATTTATTAAAGAAGAAAATACATACATGTGTTCATTTTCATTAAAATGCCTTTTATTCTGTATTTGTCTTGTTGACCTTTTAATGAACTTATGTAAGTATGGAGTCTAGTTCTTCCACATGCACTATTACACTACTCCTTACGTGCTCTGGGTACATAATAAATACCAATAACAATTGAAAATTAGAAGTACAAATGCATTTCGAGGCACGTTGGTGATATTTTAATCCCTAGTGTTCATTTTTAGTACTTGGAAAACATCTTAGATATGCAAGTCTTGTTTTAGCATACTTTTTATTTCTATAGATAGTCTGGTTCTTAGTCATACTCTGTGGCTTTATCAGCTGTTTCATCAGTTTGAGTCTCATTTCCCCAACTCCCAGGATAAGCTTTTGAGACTAAAGACCATTTCTTTTCCAAAATTTTTGTGACAGCACACAAAATAGAGGTTGAGTAAATTATTTAAATTATACCTCAGTAAAAAGTAAGATAAAGTTCTTAATGAATTGCATTTCAGCCCATGCTGAATTTAAATATCTCTATGATCTGTGTCCCCTTCTATGCCTTCAACAGTTCATTCATCATTGTTCTTTCAGTTCATTAAAGTCAAACTGTGATGGCTCGCTGCTTGGAACGTCATCATCCATTAAAAAGTACCAAGACTCCCCAAACAGTGGAGAGCATAGGAAGGAGAAGAAGACAGTTGGGTTTCATTCGCATATGAAAGATGATGCCCAGTGGTCATGTCAAAAGAAAGATACACGTAGACCCCAAAGAGGTAAGTTTAACAACTGTAGTAGCAAATGAGAAACTGGCAGGGGAAGGTAGTTGCTAGCCAATGAATTTCAGATGATTTCCTACAATGTTGAGCAAAAGTTAAATGTTACACACTGAAGTGTGCCTGCAAGGCCACAGGTAACACATCTACGGGATTAGTGAATTGTGTCTGCATTTTTCTTAGAATACTGGTATGAAATACTGTATCTAAATTGTCCCTCTTTTTGCAAGCAACAAGTGTTAAGAATTAGTCGCAGTAAGTATGTTCATATTCTAAACTAATGTTCCAAGTGAGTAAAGAGGGCAAGATATTGAACATAAATCTCTCCTGGAAAAATAAACTCTAACAACTACAGTTAATCCTCAATTGACTGGAAACATGGGAAGGGTGGAGGGGAGATCATGGACAACTCCCCATATTCTGACTGAAACAAACTTCACAAGTCTAAAGCATATATTGCCTAGCAATCTTTTAAATGTCAATAATATTTCCTATTATGTGGTAGATTCCTTTTTTTTTCAGACAGCCTCACACTGTCACCAGGCACCAGGCTGGAGTGCAGTGGTGCGATCTCGGCTCACTGCAACCTCTGCCCCCCAGGTTCAAAGGTTTAAGCAATTCTCCTGCCCCCGCCTCCCGAGTAGCTGGGACTACAGGCACATACCACCACACCCAGCTAATTTTTGTATTTTTTTAGTAGAGACGGGGTTTCACCATGTTGGCCAGGATGGTCTCAATCTCTTGACCTCGTGATCTGCCCATCTCAGCCTCCCAAAGTGCTGGGATTACAGGCGTGAGCCACCACGCCTGGCCTGGTAAATTCTTTTAAAAAATCAGTTATAACTATATTAAATGTTGGGTGAAGCAAATTTGTTTCCCAGTTGTTCCTGGAGAGGCTTTTGGCTTAATCTATCCTGGCATCCTTAAAGGAATGACTTTGGAAAAGAACGGAGCAAGTCTGAGCTTCATTATACGGAAAAGATGTACAGGAAACAAAAGGCCAAAAAGACCTCTGAGCCCTGTCCTGCCCACACCTCTTTCCCAGGTGTCTTTTTTCCCTTCCCACAACCATTAACCCTGATTTCCTTCTTACTTACCTCTTTTTCTACTGGGGCCGCACCTTTCTACCGCTGGTGTCATACAACCTACTTTTCATAATCTCTATAGCCACTCTCACATTTATTTATTTGAAAATTGGGCAGTTCTTTGTGAGATCTTGCAGGTGTACATCTCCCTGCCTTTCTTCATCTGCTACTAGCTCTGCCATGCTTTTTGGTTTAGATTATGATTAATCTAGAAATTGTTTAATCCTTTACCAGATAATTGAGAGATGATAATCAGTTCAAATTTTGGGGGGAGGACTATCCACAATTTGAAAAAAAGCAAAAGTATGTTTTGTTTGACATAAGACAAAGAAAGGTTTTGTAGACTTCCATTGCTTTAGAACAACTTAGAAGCTGCTTTCTGGACATTGCTTCCCGAACTAAAAATTAAATTGAAGAAATTTTATGAGATAGAATCTTTACTTTCTCTGTTAGCAGTCCTTCAGAAATGGAAAACTCTTACCTCAGCTTCCTCTGTTCTTAGTCATTGCACTTTGGAGAGTGAAGAATTAGCCACAATTGGTGTGGTAGTTACACTGCAAGGTTTAACATAGTCTTCAGTTAACTTGTCTACAAATTTGTGTTGTGTGGCAGCACTAAGATAAAATGGCAAAATGAGAAAAATATAGTGTAATAACAAAAGAACGAATAACTTGTGTTATTGGTTAATACCACAGCCACAGTAGAAAGCAGCAATTGAAAAGGCACTTTGAGAAAGATATCATCAGGCCAGCCCTTGCTGTGGTGAAGGTTAATCTCTCCTGGGCCTAGCTACAGAAGTCAGAAGCCTGAAAAGGGCTTGTGTCCAAAAAAAATCAATTTCTAATTTGAAACAAAATCATTTTTGACTAACCGGGGTTCAGAACCCATTACTTTTTGCCGTATAGTCTGCTGACATTTCAGCACTTTCTGTTGTGCACAATGAATCCTAATAGTCATTTTATAATGTTGCCATACCAATCAATTTAACCAAGAGAAAGCTGTTACAATTCTGCAAAGTTTTCAGGAACAGTTTTCACTCGTGGTTTTATTTTCTTTCCATTAGGTTTTCTTCCCCCCCTTTTTTTGTGGGGTTGGGGAAAGGCTGTAGTGTTGCTCTAAAAAAATAAAGAATAGAAACTTTTTCATCTTTTTAAGAGTTTTTATTTTAAAGCATTCACGGGAACTACTGACTTTCTGTTCTGCTCTCTTTTATTCTAATATGGAACTGTTAGCAAAATTATGGTCTACATGACCATTGAATTGGCAGAAGTTGCCCGTTTGAGCCATTCTGCCCATCGCACAGCTAGAGTATGCAGATTACAGTACAGGGCAGAGTGATTGCATTGGCATTTGCTGTGGCCCACAACCACGTGGGAGATAGAAACTTTCCGTGGATGTTGTGGTAGACTTGGAAACTCTGTTTATCATAAGGCGAATGACCTGGCACAAATGACCTAAGTCACACTGCTTGGTTTAGCACCTTCTTAATTGCTTTTCCCTCTTTAGTGTGTCTGAATTTTTTAATACATTTTTCTTCTGACTTATATCTTTTGTTTCTTTTGTTGTTATCCTTTACTCATTAAGTACTACATAGGACATTTACTATAGGACCATTAATCTTTATTACCAGTCTCTTACTCCCTTACCTCTCCTATCCTCCTCACCGTTCTGCCAGCTTTATTGATGCTAAACATGTAAAAAACTAAATAAATAAAAAGAAGAAGAAGACCAAACTGTTGTCTCAAGAAACAACCTTACCAATAGCAAAAATATGTATTGTCAAAATTACGCTTAAGATATATAAACTTGTTCATGCATCAGTTTTAGTTGCAGTTGCTTTTATTGAGCTATGTGGAACGGGGAGATAATACTTGGGAAAATCTAAACTTGAGTAAAGAACTTTTAAAAGGCATAAATCTGGAAACACCCAATCTTTATTTTTCTTTATTCTTTTTTTTTTTTTTTTTTTTGAGACGGAGTTTCACTCATGTTACCCAGGCTGGAGTGCAATGGCGCGATCTCGGCTCACCGCAACCTCCGCCTCCTGGGTTCAGGCAATTCTCCTGCCTCAGCCTCCTGAGTAGCTGGGACTACAGGCACGCGCCACCATGCCCAGCTAATTTTTTGTATTTTTAGTAGAGACGGGGTTTCACCATGTTGACCAGGATGGTCTGGATCTCTTGACCTCGTGATCCACCCGCCTCGGCCTCCCAAAGTGCTGGGATTACAGGCTTGAGCCACCGCGCCCGGCCTATTTTTCTTTTTTCATCCTTTGCAGCCTCAAAACATTTTTGACCAGCTTGCCTAGAATCTCCCTTTCCTGAGGAATCATCGATATTCCCTTTTATCAGAGCCTTCAAAGCTGAGGGCATTTTTTTTCTTGTTATGTTGATGGGCTAGCAGAGGCACTGAAGCCAGTGAGCACACATTTTCCAGAACTGAAATGTTAAACCTCTGATCTTGGCACTGCCCATTCCTAAGTCAGGCTGTGAAACCTGACTTTGGCCACTCCCTTCCTCCTTTTTGTTCCTCCTTCTTGAATCTCTACATTCCCTTAAACTGTTGGCAGAGGCGGAACCTAGAGCGATTTCGGTTTACTTGATGGTATTGATTGTGTCCTTCATTTTGTCTTTGGGGTTTTCTTAGATTATATGATTTTATATAGTAGCTGTCACTGGTTAAGGTCCACTAGTAACTCCCAAACACATTTTTTTCTTTTACTGGAAGATGATTGTTGTAGACTCAGCTGAAGTGAAGAATGATCTTAGAAGCTCCTAGTTGTTCTAAGTGAGCCTGTGCTTAAAATGATGTGAGTGCTCTTCATAGCCCCAGGTGGGTTAAAGTACAAGACATGCTTAAAGAAATGAGCAATTGGCCAGGTGCGGTAGCTCACGCCTGTAATCCCAGCACTTTGGGAGGCTGAGGCAGGTGGATCACCTGAGGTCAGGAATTTGAGACCAGCCCAGCCAACATAGTAAAATCCCGTCTCTACTAAAAATAGAAAAAAATTAGCCGGGTGTGGTGGTGCACACCTGTAGTCCCAGCTACTCAGGAAGACAAGGCAGAAGAATTGCTTGAGCCCGGGAGGCAGAGGTTTCAGTGAGCCAAGATTGCTCCACTCCACTCCCTCCTGGGTGACATCGAGCAAGACTCTGTCTAAAGGAAAAATAAAGAAAAGAAAAGCACTGCCTTAAGAGTTAAGAAAATATGGTGGGGAGAAGGTTCTATTGTCTTTTATTTTAATGAGGTTTAATTTATTTATTAATTTTTTGTTTTAAAGATGGGGTTTCGCCATGTTGGTCATACTGGTCTTGAACTCCCGACCTCAGGTGATCCACCCACCTTGGCCTCCAAAGTGCTTGGATTACAGGTGTGAGCCACCACATCCAGCCAATGAGGTTTAATGTATATACACTAAATCGCAGAGGTCTTAAATGTATGGTTTGATAAATTTTGAAAATTATATATACCCATGTAACCACTACCCCAATTAAGATATAGTACATTTCCATTTTCAGTAAATCCTCATCCTCCTTTCTAGTCAATCCCCCTGAGGCCTTTCTTCTTGGCTGCTGATGGCTGCCTTCTCACTGTGTCCTCACATGGCCTTTTCTGTGCTTGCATCCCCGGGAATGCTTCCTCTTATAAGGACATCAGTCACTCTCAGGCCCACCCCTAGGACCTCATTCAACTTAATTACCTCTTTAAAGATCCTTTAAAGATCCAGAATGCAGTCACATTCTGAGGTGTCCTAGATTTTAGGACTTCAGTGTATTAATTAGAAAGGCGCAACTAAGTCCATAACAACCACTTTCTTTCCAACTGTTATGCCTTTTCTTCTCTTTCTTATCTAATTAGACCATGTAGGGATTTTATTACAATATAGAATACAATGAGAAAAGTAGATTTCCATGC